TGTTCGAGCCGTCATCGTCGCGCCTCTCGGATCTCGCCATCTTCTTTCCCCGCACTCGAGCGAACGTGTCCTCCCGCGTACAGTTATCTCCCTCGCTTTCTGGTTCGGGGATTCGTGCCGGGGGTGAGTCGCATTCACCTCGAGCGATTTTTTTCTCTCACCGAAACAGGAAGCGCATTTGCTGATTCCGCGCTGGAACCTCGAGCAGCTCGCCGACGAAGGGAATCGGAAGAACACTTTGTGCCCTCCATTCGAACTCGTCGACGACATGAAGGTTTTCCCTTGTTGTGGAAAGTGATAATGAAGCTTCCCGCGCCAGAGCACTCCATTATGCGCGACTCATTATTCCGCCGTTCGGACAAGATCTTCCGTCGCTCGACGCCGAAACCCTTTCTGACTGGAAAGAGATTTCACTACGTGCTCGAGAATATTGCGAGCTCGGCAAAGCTCCCTTACGATGCCGCGAGTCCGATGGTTTCCGGACAGCGCAACTCGCTCAGCTATCAAAGAGTATTCAAAGTAGTCGCGGCGGCGCGCGCTGGCGGTGCCAAGCTCATCACTAGCTGACGATGTGGATAACGTTCCTCCTGATTCTAATTACCGTCACGACGACTCAAAACCGTGGAACGCAGGTCCGTCGCGAGCGACTCCAACTCACACAAGCTGCGTCAGGTCAGATTGAAACGGATCTCGTCCCGAGGCTGTGAGGTCGCGAGACTCGTCGTGCAGAATATGACCCTGACTGCGTACTGCATAGGTACAATAATTAAGATTCATTCGCGGCTCGAGCCCATGGAAGTCGGACCGGGAGTCCCGAGAATTCCTGCCGCATTCGGCTCTCGGGAACTAGCGCTTTCCTGCGGAACGCCTTCGGTCAGACGGAGCCGTAGGCGGAAGGCTGGAGCGGGGCCTGAGTCGTGTCTCTGTCACGAAATCCGCGACAGGCTCCGCTCGACGAACCAGAAATACACTCGAAATGAAGGCAACGAGAACGTCCCGCAACATTGTGTCGAAAAAAAACGACGAGAATTCAACGCGATCCCCGGACGTCAGTTCGTTGCGAATGCGAGGACGCGGAAACTGGCGCAACACTGTTGCCCAAGAAGGGCATCACGGGGAGCACGGGGTCGACGACAGACTCTCGCAATTTCGACCGGAGTTCGGCAGAGAAATGGGGAAACTCGGATAAAATGCCATCATGTCGCCGACCCCGTATTTGCGGTGGGATTACGCGCTCAGCATCCTCGCTTTCAGCGTCAAAATGAGTTGCGGAAGTGGAGCGACCGACGAAGGTGCCCTAATGAACACCTGCTAGAAAATTAGCTAGTAACTTTCGCAGATGAGGAACTCCGCAGTGACGATCACCGTCACCCGATACGAATACTTACTCCGAGGGAAGGCTGACCGCAATCATCCGAGTGGTATCGAGCTTTCACGCATTTCGGCATTAGATGAGGAATATCATTTTCTTGACACCCGGCTCGGGTGACCCGGGGGACAATGTCTGCCTGCAGCGGCTCGTTCGCTGCGAGATTCGCGAAGCAAGAACCCACGATGTGGATTGCTTCTTCGACGAGCTCGCGCGATCTCGTAGCCTCTGATTCATTAAATTTTGGTGGCCTGGCGGGAGGTCGACAGAGCTGCGACTTGGTTCTTGCTTGCGCGAGCGAAATCGTATTCACGAACTCCACAAAAACAAGTCAGTCAGTCAGCCAGTCGTTCTTCTCTCTGTTTTTCGCTCCGTCATTGTCTGGAGCTTAATTCGGTCGTCGTCGCCGTGGTCCATTCATTCTCTTATTCATTCACTTCTACCCTTAGGCAGCCCCGCCCCTCCCGCTCCTTTCAATTCCCTCTTCTATTCGCTTCCCATGGTGTTCTTAAGGTCTTCTTCTCCTCTTCCTCCTCCTCGCACTCGAGGCCCGCTTCGTTTCCTCCTCAATTCATTTATCTAGTCGCCAGTCAATGGTCCGGTGGTGTCTTGTTCCTGGCATCGCGATTTTTTCTTCCGTTCTTTGTACTTTCGTCATAGGTGGCGGTGAGCCTCGCATATTCCGGTTGAGTGAGAGCGTGACACTCTATCTCGAGAAGATCACTTCCTCATCGGAAACGACGGAAGCTGACGCTGATTCGAGAAGACTGAGGAAATTTTCAGGCGATCACGCGGCATATCAGCGTCCAGGGCGGAGATCAATCAGATTCATCTTCCGGGAGAGAATTTATTAATTCGCTTGGAGGGCTGTCTCGTTGCAGTTCTGAGATCGAGATGCGCTGAGTGATCGGCGCAATTCTTATCGCAAGTCCGAGAACCGCTCCATGCCTCCGGATGAATATTACCCGCCACAGAGCATCGGCTCCTAGCGTTGGGAGGCATCGAAGACAGGCAGCGGGATCGCGAGCCTCCATCGAGACAGAACGGCAAAAACGTATTCCTCTCCATGATATTCTATCCCTTCTCCCCGGACACCTCTTCAGATGGCGTGCCATGCCTCTCTTGCGTCTGGCATCTCGAAGAATCCTGTGACGGGTGATCATCGCCGGCGTACGATCCGGCCGTCGACAGCAAGATGGCTCTGAGTACGCTCGGCCCACTTTCCTTGACACTTCGGTCTACGATCCGTGAATATTTCACGAGGGAAATATTCACTGATGCACGCCCGACGCGATCGGACGTATCTTCCGAGAGACACGTCCGTCGTCAGCGAATGGAGCCTTTCGGCTGAAATCGGTGATTCGTCGCCCTCCCTTCATACCAGCTCGCCTCCGATCGCGGTGCTTTGTCCCCCGCGCCATAAACCGCCTTCGGAACCCTAGCGCTCCCGCATCCCACAGAGGATTCCTCACGTAATTCGACCGTAAATCCATAACGGCGATCACAAAGCGCGGAATCCGCTTGTTTCGAACCACATCGACAGTAACATGGATCGGGAAGATGAGCTGAATGAAAACCGACGGCAAACTATGCAAACAACGTGATCAACGAACTCTCATCGACTGTAATTGCCTATCGTTGTCGAGTGCGCGGTCACGCCGTGCAGCGCCGAGAGCGGGGTTCAAGAGTCACTTGTTGTTCGACGTGGCAAACATTATTAGCCAGCCGGCCGGCCGTCCGACCGACCGACCGCCCTACCGCCTTGCTGAGTCGCTTGCTCGTTGTTCTTATTGATGCCGTCGCAACGACCGAGCATAGCAATACAATGCACGTCGTACCTCTAATCAGGGCTTCCCGAAGAGCTCGTTGATGAGGACAGGAATTAGCCGAGGAATCACAATGCGGACTCGAGTTACTTCACTGGCAATGGAATCATCGGAGGCGGTGATTCTTCCAGAGCTCTCGCCGAGTCTCGCAACGCGGAAGAGAGGCTCTACGAGGCCTGTCCGACTATTTTCCTTCAGCATCTTCCGGGGTGAGCATCGAAGTATTCGAGCTCCCTAAATCGCATCGTTTGAACACGAGTCAGAATTCTGCTGAGGGGAATAAGGCGGGGTCACTGCATTACTTGCTCGAGGACCGGACCCATCGGTTTCCTGAAGACATCACGGAGCCGCCACGACAATCGACTACTTATTGAAAGCCCGCTCGCGAAGAACTCGGGCTGAAGAAAAGACTGCGCGATCGACCAATTGGAAGAAACAACGAAAATAAAGCGAAGCTGCAAGTCCTGCTTATTTAGCACTGGATTCGGCCCACGCTATGAAGGCCGCGGCTGCCATCTTGAGCTCGTGCGAGCTCAATACGACTGGTGACTGAAAGGGAGAGCCTCAGCCAGGCGATCATGAGAACGGTCAAGAAGCAAAAGGTCGATAGTCGTTTTTTCCCTCCTTAGACTTTGGAGGAGCAGCGGATCATATCTCTAACGCCTGGGCACTTTCTTCCAGCCCATCCCATCGCACAGAATTACGTTCATACAAACTATATCCGCGCCTCAATCGACGCTTTCCGTTCGACTGATTCTCCAACACGTTGAGCCGAATTTGCCTGTAAGTGGGTATTCAACTTCCATCTCCGACTCGGTATCTTCCTCCGTCCCTCTGAATTCGGACTGTGCTCTCGTCCTGCTGTCTCGACTCGCAGGTGCTCTTCCCCTCATACGGCAAAACTCGATTTGATAACGCGCCCGCCTGAAGCGGCTCTCTGTTCCTCGTTCATGAGCACACGCTCGGGAGCTCTCCAGAAAGAAAAGAGGAGAGTCGATGAGACGAGAAACTCCGGAACAACATCGACTCGCTTTCGGACTCGGGTGCGCGAGCCCAAGCGATGATTACGATTGAGATTATTCCTGAGTAGGGCGATCTCATGTATGATTGGAGGACTTCAACGTCGCGTCGGCGTCGAATCCCCCTCTTCCCTCACGACGCCGACGAGCCAACAGAGGTGCAATGACCGAGAGGTTCGTCGACTGCCGAATAGTCGCACTGGTCCTGAAAGTGAGCTATTCCCGTCGGAGACTCGAACAGCGAATATTTGAGGTTAGCAGAAAATTCCGATTGAGAATCTAGCCGGGAATCGGATTTCGCACGGCGGGGGGGGAATCGCCATAAGTCGAAAAAGAAAATTCGTACCTCGATCCGAGGATCAGTTCTGGGATGTTCGATTGGAATTAGCTCTGGTCACGCAAGCTCCATCTCACCGGAGAAAGCATTCGAATTCATACGATTCTAGCTGGATCGAAGCTGAGGCGGAAATTCGGAGAGCAAGAAAACATCGGAAACGGTAGATTGCCTGATGGCTCGTATCGATTTCATGACGAGCCCTTCGATTCGACTCGACCAGGCCGCGAGCTCATTTCCCCGTCAGAACCTAATGCATTGTCCCTTAACCCTCTTCGATCTGGGGGCACGACCCGGACAACTCGAAATTTTGTACCTCCCGATCGCGACCGATGTTTGCGTTCCGAATCCGTGCTCAAGGGGATTCGACCGGGTTCTTCTGGAGTTGGTCGTGAGAGAGCAGAACGAAACTGAGCTCATAAAGATATACTCCTAGCCTGTTGGGAACTCACCTTCTTCGACGTCATTCCTCGCTGCCGCTTCGAGTAGCATGACACTCGGTACAAAGTGTACCTTGTACTCAACGAGCTTCCCTCCGCCATTAATCTGTAAGGAAAAGTCCGCTCAGTTGCTGATGATGACGTTATGGCTCATAAATGACTGGACCCACGATCCAGCGCCCGATGCACCTCAGTGTTTCCCCAATGGCTGGCTCGGGACCCACGCGTCAGCAGCGCCGCGACCGCTATCGATTCGAACCGTCCGCTCCTGCTTATTCTTCTGATTAGCGATCGGCTATAGACACAGTTGGCAAAAAAATCCTCCTGAATCCATGCTGGTTTGTGCATTCACGAGCGAAAATTTTCAATCACGAATATTGCTGTGATATCCGAAGGAGCACCGACTGCTCGCCTCAGAACTCGAAGCGCGAGACCCCTCGAGCTCCGATTCCTCTGTACGCGCGTACAGAGCCTGTACATGAGCCAATCGGATCCGAGAATTAGGTGCCTCGGTCAGACCAGGGTAATGCTGATAACGTTGGAGATTCTCAGACGCCGAGCGGACTCTCATACCTACAATCTGCATTGTATCAGTACGGAGATTTAACTTCCGTGAACCTCCTCGAGAGAGGCTTCCCGTGTCCTGACTGTGCACGTCACGATCCTCTAGCGCCTAGACGGAAATTTTCATCGAATGAAGGACGATCTTATTTTCGAGCAGAAGTCACTTCCAGACTTCTTGACTTCGAGCCTCGTTCGGGAGCATGGGACGGCACCTCTTCCCGCGAGGTCTAGGAATTTCCAAAAGGTCTGTTTCCCTCCCGGTCTCGCTCGAAGTACTAGGTACTCTGGCTAGGTCTTCGGTCGCTTTATATTTCCCTCCGGACGATTCGCGGAGCCATATAGGTACATTACTAGATTGCAAATAAAGACCAGACAGGCTATGCAAGCATGAATCATTGTTGTTTGCTGTCTAGAGCGGATACTCGACTCGGAAGTCCCCTCAATTTATCAATGAGCTCCCGAACGCAACAAATCATTCGAGACCATGTACAACCCATGCCGGAAGCATGTTCCTTGGTCGAAGACCGACTGCGCTCTCTGTGGAAATTTTCATCTTCTCTGATATCAGATCGCCGAATCAGAGAATGACCAACACGAGCTTGATCCACAATGCGGCCGGTAGACCTCGGGGTGGGCGGGGGCGCATCCGGTCGTCGACGCAACTACTTTCTCCGCGCTACTGGGGAATTCTACCCATCGACGACGAATCACTCCAGTGATCTCGATCGAGGAATGACGGATGGAGAACATTTCCACTCGAAGCCTAGATGAGATCGCCGAGAGCTCCTCCGGAAATGCCGTATTGTATATGAGACGCTGCGCTACCGATCGCTCGCCCTGTCCCGTTCCACTCGTCGCGAAGAATCCTAGACTTTAGACTCCATGATTCTTCTGTCTGGGGGGCAATAGGGGATTGCGGGAAGCGCAGGGAATAACCGCTCCGAGTCCTGTGAGGAGATCCTCGGGCCGGCCGGAGGAGAGTGGATTTCAGCTGGATAGAGGTCATTACGAGCGGGAAAAAAAGAGAAACCGATCATTGAGAGTAACAGAGGCAACTGCGCAGCTACAGTTGCTCGCCACGAGTCCCGAGGCATCGGCATGCCATCGAAAATTCGCTAATTATCCCTCCTAGATAAAACAATTGCACTGTTCCTCTTCTCGTTCTCTCTTTGTCGTAAGCGTTCTATTCTGACCGGCGGAGCGAAAGCACGCGGAATAAGGTCAGCGAGAGAGTGCGCTCAACCTCACGCGAGGGGAGATAGAGACTTGAGCTCTGGAATGTTGTACTGCCAGGAAGGATCATCCACGTAAAAACCTCGGTGCTGTCTCTCCCGAGCCCTTGTCTCAAGTGGCGCGGAATTTTTTCTCCTCTCTCGCTGGGCGTTCATCTAAGTGATCCAGATGAGCAAGTTTCGTCGACCCGCTGACATGGAGGTTGCGGAGCCCGGCGTCCTCGGGCTGAACGCGCGACTAGTGCTCATGTCACCTGACCCCGGGGCTGAGAGCCAATGCACTTTTGCGGAGAACCAGGATCCCGGGCAAAGCCTGCTTCCGGCACCGCTCACCGTAGAGCGAATGTTTATTTCTGACGTACTAGATCGAGACTCGCGTTCCCCATTCATTCGATCTCGGAGCCGAATGGGGGCAACGTATCCGCCGGCCCTTGCCAGCCGGGGTCGCTTGCTCGTCGCGAGTCCGTATCCCGTACAAGGATATCGTCCTCTTGCGTCCGTCGCGCCCAGTGGACGTCCACGTCCGGTCTGCCTTAGAATCTTCCTGTTGGCTTCTCGCCAAGTCTCTAGCTTTTATTCCATGCGAAGCCTGTCTGACTGAGGAAACTCTAAGCTGCTCGTTCAGTGTCCGCTTACTCGGTCGACAGCGACGTATGCCGTACCTCTCAAGGGCCGGACCGTGAGTTCAAATGCCTGTAGCTGACCTACCACAGCGAGCCGCCATCGTCACCGACACGCGGGTCGCCTCTCTCCTCTCCACAAATAAACTGAGCCGGTAATTTCTTTCGTCCTGTATATTATTATTACGCTTCGCATCCTCTCTTCCCCCCGAACCAGCATTCTTGGATAGTTCGATTAGAATCCACTGGCAGCGGGGACAAATACAATCAATGAAGGCAGAGAGGCTGGCCTTCGACTTTTTTTCTCCTTCCACCCATCGCTCCAGCCGCGAATCAAGTTGGCGAATCCGGAGGATTACCGTTCCTTCCACGCGCCTCCCAGGAAAATAATCCGGAAAAGACGTATTAGGAGCTGATCGACAGGTGTTCGGCAGCTTTCATCCGTATGGTCTTGAGAGAGTCGTTCGTCGCCCCGGCCGCATCCGGCAAGCCGACCGTCCTCGTTGCGAGAACGCCGACTCCCGCGCCGCCCAGCGCAAGCGCGTTCGAGATTCGGCGCCTTTGTCGCAACGTCTTCCCAGGACTAGTGGTTTCGGCAACAACTTTGTGCTCCAGAATAGCGTCAGCGCGAGTTGCTCAACTTCAGAAAGTGGGCGTATCGAGCTTCCTCGAGGACAGACGCCGATCTCGCGCTACTTATTCAGCTGCAGGGCGTACGCGGCACCATGCTGCGTGACGACCTGATTTTATTCCGAGGGAAAGAGACAGTTGTTCTCACCAACTCAAGATCCTTCCTTTGCCCTTTGCGGCAAGCCTGCTGGAGACGCCCGGCTCAGATCGTCTCTTGGCTTGACTGACCGGCGATCAGAGAAATCTTAGTCAGAGCTCTTAGTTAGAGCCACCTCACGAATTGTGTCGCCGCAACGCCTTCCCAGCAACTTACCGAAGGAAGAGCCTGCCCACCGGACTCCACTCATTCATTCGGCATTTTGACCGAGCGCGGCGGAGCAAGGGCAGTCATCCCTTGTCGGCTGGTTTGCCACATTCTCTCTTCATGACGCCGAAATCAAATTATTCGGATTGCGCTCGACTTCAGAGACTTCGGAGTTTGACTACACCGACTGAGTCGACCTCCGAAGTATTCCCTTGTTGTTCATGCTTGCATACCTCATACATATATCTATATGGCCAGGCTCGAGACACGACCGAAGGCGACTTGAGCTATTTTCCAGATTCGCTCGAGAGCCCCGGAAGCCATTCCCCGTCGAAATCTGCACATAGATTGAGGACGCCGGGGATTTAGTGAACACACAAAGTCATATTGGCGCAATCGGGGCCTTGGCCTCCGACAAGCGCGGTCCTTCGTGACGAACAAGAGATGGCGAAATCGATGTAAGACAGATCGCATAGCCCCTCCATAAGTATATATTTGATTCATGGCGATCTGTCAGGTGGGATATGATTCCTGCGCGCCGATGGACAACGGCGGATCTCATACATCGGGTCCTCTCGGCCCTCACCACCGAGGCGAGCTCCGATCCCCGAGGGTATTCTGAGCAAGCGGTTGCCGAACAGGGTGGAGCAGGAAGGTCGTCCCGCCAGTCGGTTTGCGTTCTTCCTCCGTACACTCTTCTCCCCCTCATCATCAAGACCTGGAGCACCTCGACGCTAATCTCCCGAGAGCTACTCGGAGCCATAACATGCCTTTTTCGAGAGAATCCATCGGAAAAGACCTATACTCGAGACTCGAGAACACTTCAGATCGATCCCTCGTGCTGATACGATGACAGCATCGCGGGAGAGACGGGAACTCAATCGTTCGCGGAGCGTGGTGAATTGGTGAACATTGTCGCGGAGGAGACGTCCCATCACTCTACGGATCGGGAACACACTGGTCTGATTCAATCGAGCCGTATTATCGATACACAGACGTTCAGTAGGGACTGTGGTTGAGCCTGGCGTCTCACGACCCCCATCAGCAGCCCGATCACAGAGCTCGCAAGTCGTCGTGATTCCTGCAGGTAGGCGTGCGCTGAATAAATAGATGATGAATCGATAGATTCATTCGGACCCCTCCGCGATGTTCGCTCCTCGGTTTTGGTTGCGCACTGAACGAGAATCCGTGTCATCGCTTATTCCTATGCTCGATATTTGCCATGTGACTCTGCGAAATTGCTTTTTTTTGCCACGATGAGGTATCCGATAACACGCTTACTTGCACAGGGAGACGATGCATGCGATCAGAAAATGTCGCTCGATTCGCCGGCGAGATCGGACCTCCCGAGGGTGTCCTGGGAACCGCGAAGTGAGCCTCCCGCCTGGTGTGGCTCCCCGAACGCCACGAAACACGCGTCGCGACTTTCTGCTCTCGAATAGTGTTCATCCTCGATAAGCCGAGGGGGTGAATCGATACGATTTTCAAATCGCCCTCGAAACTAGCTCCGGGAACTGACGAACGGGAAACTGTGCCCACGTCTCGCCGGAACGACGAACCCATCTCGGTCCGTCGGAGCAGTTCGCGGCATCCGTGAGAAGTCCCCTCTCGGAAGGTATCCATCTCGATTCGAGTTCAACACTTGACGCCTCATGTCGAACTCTGATTTGTATTCCTGAGCGAAAGTCCATTTGAGACATCTTCCTACAGATGGAGAGCGAATCGCCGATAGACCATCTTCTCGCGCCATTGAGCG